TGACTCGTCTGCAGTACCTCTTCCTGTTGATTCGCCTGCAGTACCTCTTCCTGTTGACACACCTACAGTACCACTTCCTGTTGATTCGCCTGCAGTACCTCTTCCTGTTGACACACCTACAGTACCACTTCCTGTTGATTCGCCTGCAGTACCTCTTCCTGTTGACACACCTACAGTACCACTTCCTGTTGATTTACCTGCAGTACCTCTTCCTGTTGACATACATACAGTACATCTTCCTGTTGATTTACCTGCAGTACCACTTCCTGCTGACACATCTACAGTACCTCTTCCTATTGATTCGCCTACAGTACCACTTCCTGTTGACACACCTACAGTACCACTTCCTGTTGATTTACCTACAGCACCTCTTCCCATTAATACACCTACAGGAGCCCCTCATGCCAGGACAACTCCAGGACTTACCCCTGTTGGTACACCCCCTGGTCTTACTGCTGGGAGTTTTGAAGAAAATGTCTGGGAGGCTTATGAGTGCACAGAAGAACTACACTTTATTTGCTACTAAATTTTGTAGTTTAGTAAATGAGGCTTTACATCTTTGGTATTTATTTATATTTTTCACTGAAATTATATAAGATTGTAAACTCTAATAATATAAACAAACTCTAATAATACAAACACAAACTTAGCTTGAGTCTTTTATAAATGCTTAATGTTAACTGACTGATTTTNGAGGAACGTTGGTTTGAGAGAGGAGTAAAAGAAGCCATTTTTGTGAAGAAAGACCGTCCATCATTAAACAGAGGTGGAGGCCTCCGTTTTCAGCTGTCCTCCTCCTACAGCGCCACTATTGCCAGTATCACTTCACCCCTGTTAACAATAAGTGTTAATTAGGTGTCAACGATAGCCATGTGATGTGAGTATCAGCCACATCACAAAAGCCTTAATTTTGCCTGAAACTCTCAGACTGAAGAAGTCTCTTGGAGAAGAGACGAAACGTTTCATTAGAGAAGAACCTGTCCAGAAGACCTACACAATTTTTTTTTCTTTTTGATTTTTTTACCTGAATTACTGAGATGCATCAGGACAAAAAATTGTGACATTTTTCTTTGTGGATATTGTGACAAAATAAAATAAATTAAAACAAGAAACAGGAAAGTCAAATTACCGAAAACCTTTTGAACGTACCTCTCTGGGTCTTCCTCCTGGGTTAAGGGACAGATTGTTGGCAAAGTCTGGCGAATGCCCCGTCGACATGCTATCATGGCTGCTTTGATACTGCCCCTCGCTTGTGGTCCGACGTCTACCTGTCTCCTGCGTCACCTCTGGAGTCATCCCTCTTGTACGAACTCCTGAAAAGCCATGTTACATCTTTACCGGGCGGGACTGCACATGCAAAAAAACAGTTTGATAAAACAGCAGGACGTAACAGGATAAATTAAAAGCAGTGGGGAAACACAAGCAGACCTGAGAGAGGAAATGATTAAAAGTCATGGAGAAAGCCACCATAAAAGATCTCAAATTAAAGTGAAATGGTTGGGAGGCAGAGAGAAAAAAACTTACCTGGTGCAAGAACAGAAAGATCAATAAAAATAAACGAGGAAAATAAAGGTGAGGGAAAGTGAACAAACCAGAGAAGGAATAGGAGCGGTGGCGGTCAGATTGTTGAGGTGTCATGCTTTCACTGATGCCCCGAATACGAGCGTTGTACTCTGTTCCAGGGGGAAGGGGTTCAGGAGCGAAAAGGAGAGGGTGACAGAGGCGCAGAGACGAAAGCAATGATGGGAACGAAGATGGATTAAACACAAAAGGAAAAAAAAAGGGTGAAAATCAGAACAGCAATGAACAGTGGGAATCACTCGCAAGTGAGTTAATGATAAAATGGGATTGTTCAAAACTTTTTAAAAACACTAAACTCACAGCTCTGTTATCAACTTGACCAGAGGGAATGTTTTTAAATGGTTATTACACTTTTGATCCACTGGGCGGCAGCAAAGAGCTTCTACAGTGAAGGTACATTCTGAATGCAGATAATGCAGGGAAGCTACTTGGCTATTATTATTCCCTTTCCCATTTTTTTAACCAGCACTGCTTCGTTTGAGCTGCACAGCTAATTTTATGAGGTCATTCCACCAATACAGACCCCACCCTCCCCCCATGTTGAGTCTGTAACACTAACTGCTGAAAGCTGCACTGCTCACGTTCTGCTACAAAGTCTTCTGTTAGCCTCTGTCAGCATTTTAGATCCATTTTAGTTCCCTCTGTATCGTTTAAAGCCTATGATCCAAGTGTGCTGTTAGGTTCTACCTTTATTTATTCTTATTTTTCATACACCATCATAAACTGAAAAAAAAGGAAAAATATGAGGACACCTTACCAGCAATACGATGTGCAACTAGGCCTTCCAAGTTTAGTGTCTCCTCCTCTGCATCTTGCTCTCTGGGCAAAGGTGAAGGAGACATGTCCTTAGGCTGCGGGGTAAGAGCAGGAAGTGGAGAAGAAGAGGTGCTGTAGCCTGGATACGGAGACGGACCCTGCAGGTCCGGGGAGTGTGAAACTCCTGCATATGAGTTTATTGGCTTCTGTTGGTTGAGGTTAGAAGAAGAATCAGTGGTGTAGTGGTGGGGTGATTGGTGTGTGTGGAGGTAGGGTTCAGGAGTGTGTGTCGGGGTAGTGCTCTGGTGTTGGTAGCCACTGTTGGACCTCTGAGAAGACTGCACTGAAGAATCCATAACTGGACTCTGGTTTGGCATTGTTGGCACCCTCCCTACTGATCGCTGGGGAGGATAATGGGTGTTATTTACTGACCCAGAGTTGTGGTAGCCATGGATAGCAGAGTCCCCTTGGTAGGAAGGCCTGGCCAGGGTCTGAGAGAATGCTATCTGGGATGAACTGATGCTTGTATCCCCAGATGGCGCACTGTGGGACTTAGACATGTGCGAGTTGATTGGGTCTAGATCGAGCATTAGCATGTTTAGTGCCTCGATGGACTGCTCGATGTCTTGTTGTGAGGCTGGGGTTGGGAAGTGGGGCAGGCTGTGGGTTGACTGAAGAGGAGGCCCAAAAGGATCATCTGGAAGACTATGCTGGTGCCAGTGGTTGAGACCTCTTTGAACAGCCTCTCGACTGCTGGTACTCCTCTCAGGGGCCCTGGGCATCAGCTTAGAGTTGTTTTCAGGGCTACTGGCTGGCTGGTTCCCAAAGGACTGTGAGCGGTACATCCCTCCTCCATTTTGGTAGTTGCTGTATCCCCCCTGGGGCGATGGTGAGTCTACAGCCCTCTCTTGTAATGCTGTAGGTGTGCGTACTCCATGCACAGGCATTTCGTTCAGCTTTTCCCCAAGAACGTTCCTCTCAAGATACGGGCCGTCGTTCTGGACACTGACAGGCGTTTGCGATTGGTAGTAGAGGCTACCTGGTGTTGCCTGACCCTCTAAGGATGAGAGGGTACCCAGGCTGTCCACACTGTTGCCCTCTTGGCTATTAGGCAGCTCTTCGTCAAGAATATCCGTTTCCCGTTCCTCTGTTGAAGGTACCGCAAGAAGCCTAGTGTGGCCACCGTTGACGTGCACCTGTGCTGGGACCAGGTGTCTCACACCTCCTCCTGGACTGGTAGATGTGGACAAATAGGCCTGCCGCTGAGTTGGTGCCTCTAGGCCACTCAGAAGTTGGTCGAGCTCTCTTTTTTCTTGTGGGCTTAGCGGTGGGTGAGCTGTTGGGTTGTTTTGACTTGCGGCAATCTGCAAGGACTGGCTGTGCTCATCGGTACGATCAGTCTTGATGGATGCAGTTGAGTTGCCTGAGTCACTGCTCACGGACAGAGTATGGTCTACAGCTGGGAGAGAGGTGTGGCCTGTCACAGGAAGTGTCTGCTCACTTGTTTGAAGTGGATGGTTGCTCTGCTGTAATGAATTCTCTGGATTCTTCAGGGGGTTTTCACGAGCTGGGAGGCCATTGATGGTAACAACTCCCTCCAAGGAGTCTTTCTTGCAGACTCGAGCATAAAGACTTCCATCAAGCGGACCTTGAGTGTGAGCAACATCTGAAAGAGTCATAAAGAGACAAATAGAAATTAAATTACTTCAAAAACACGTGAGGCTCTTTTAATCCCTCATTTATTATGCAAGAGTTGGTTTGGTCAAAATATTGTAGCTCCAAACAGGTCATATTTACATGGGAAAGGTTCATTCAATCATATGCCACTGCACCCAGCTCTTGCAATCCTAATGTTGGCAAAAAAGAATAAATAAATAATTAATTAAAGAGTAATGATGTAGAAATCATAAAAAACATTAATAATGGACATATTATTATTAATATATTAGAATGTTTATAAGTTATCTAATACAAAAAAACAGAGATCTGTGTTATGGAAACGTGTCTCTTTTCAAAAGTGAGCAGATTTTATTTTTATTTACCTCAATGTGGATGTGATCTGACCTGAACTGAAGCTAATAATGCAACAGCTTAAAAATTAAAATAAGCTTATAAAGCCAATTTATTCACTGTTGTTTATTGGACTGGTTAGCAGATATTAGTTTCTGTAACAGATATACAGAATGTAGCACTCTGCTGAATCATGCTACAGTTTAACACAAACTATAAAATATTAGGTTGAATATAAATAAATATTATATATTTAACTATTTTTAGGTTTTTATTGGACTAACCTGACCTGCTGAGAAGATGGTTAGCTAATATCATACGTGACAAGCTTCATCCTATAATCGGGTAGAGAACATTTTCTAAGTGTTGACTGGTAAATATTTATTATTATTATTATTTATGACAGTAAGAAATAATGATATACTTTATTACTAGCTGAAGTCAATTTTACAACTAGCTAAAAAGTTTCTGACTGATTTCATGTCTGGTTAAGATCATTGGTACTCACAATTAATTTATTGTAAAAAAAAAACCTCACCACAGTGACATCTAGTGGCCATCAAAACCAGAAAGAAAAAGAAAGAAAGAACCCTCAAATCTAAATGTAGAAAAAGGAAAACAAAACAAAAAATTGTGACAAAAAAAAATTGAATAGGTCTTCTGGACGGGTTCTTCTCTAACGTTTCGTCTCTTCTCCAAGAGACTTCTTCAGTCTGAGAGTTTCAGGCAAAATTAAGGCTTTTGTGATGTGACTGATACATCACATGGCTATCGTTGACACCTAATTAACACTTATTGTTAACAGGGGTGAAGTGATACTGGCAATAGTGGCGCTGTAGGAGGANGTGATGGAGGGACTGTCTCCTCCTCTCATGCCAGTCCTACCCCCAACTCTGCTGCTGCCATCAGTCGGTGGAATGGGGGGGGGGGGGCTTCTCATCCTTGATGTCCTCTGGGGGCTCTGGGGCAGTCTCGTGCCCAGTGATCATGTCTTAGTTTTCGGAGGCCTCGGTTCATGGAGGGTCTTGGCTGCCATTGTCTGAGTGGTCTGGAATGGGGTCTGGGTCCATCACCCTGGTTGCCACGGTTGAACTTGTCTTCAGCCTGAGCTTGAACAGTTCGACCAGGATCAAGTGAGCTTTGTTCTTCAGCTCACGTTTTGCTTCTTTTCTTTCTTTCTGTTGTCATCATGCAGTTGTGTGTGTTTGTCATGCTGTTGGAGTTCAGTCAGTTGCATATCTTCAGGGCAAACTGTCACTAGGGCTGCAATGGGTGGGAGCAGTCAATTAGTGAAAACCTGACAAAGATGTGTTTCCCAACTCTTCTTCTGTCCCCCAGGCTCTCTGGATTGTCCAGGCCAGAGTGGTTCTGGTGTTTGTTTGTTTTTTTTGGCTCAGAAGGTGTTTAAGCTCAGGCCAGGTGGGCATTATTTTGCTGCAAAAGTCAGTTAGGGTGAAGGCAAACTTCTCACCATCATGTTGAACTGGGAACAAATGAGGTACTCTCAGTGGCGTGGCTGGAACTTCCATTATGATCGCTCCTTCAGGACCACCGGGTGCTGGTTAAAACAGTCTCTGTGACCCATCTGAGGCTGGTGGTGGTGGAGAAGGCTGAGATGCTGATACGGGGGAGGCGGAAACGAGAAGAGGAGAGGGTCATCCATCCTTGTGAAAGGGGGATATAGAGAAAAAACAAAGGTGTCAGTCTGTTCTACTTTCTTTTTAATTTTTCTGATTATTTTTTTTCACTCATTATGAACTTGTAACATGCAGGACTCACACCTGAGTTGTTTTCTCTTCTTTTACACCTTTGAACATTTCGAGTGCTTTTTAATATTTTCTCAATCAGAGGTATTTATTTATTTATTTGCTAATTCACTTTCTTGTGATCTTAAGTTTTTCCTTCAACCTTTGAATTTGCTTTAAACTAAAAGACCCAAGAAACCCTATGTGAGACCATTCATGAAGAAATTTCAGGCCAATTTGCCCATAGCTTTTATCCATTATTTTCACAAATTGATCAAGGAGGTGGACGGTCATTTCTGCTCTGACCCTTTTCCTTAAAACCTGTCCAACAGGTTAATAGTTTATGTCTAAACTATGGAGTGCACACTCAGTATGGTGAGTCTAACTCAACAAAGCCAAAACTCTGTTTACAACTCAACAGAACCAAACTTCTGTCTTGTGGTGATCCAACCACACACAGTTACGAAGAGCCCAACTCTTCGGAGCGGTCCAACCGCTCTAAAAATACTGCATTTTCCCTATAGTCCAACTACTTCATGAAGAGTCCAACTCTTCGGAGCGGTCCAACCGCTCTAAAAATACTGCATTTTCCCTATAGTCCAACTACTTCATGAAGAGTCCAACTCTTCGGAGCGGTCCAACCGCTCTAAAAATACTGCATTTTCCCTATAGTCCAACTACTTCATGAAGAGTC